TCACGACAAGATTATACACCTTTATGAGTTTTGTGACTGTGTCGATGTATACAGGAAATAAAAATGAATGTAATCTATTTGAGATATAAAAAAAAAAGAGAGAGAAAAATATTACTTTATCAAGAGAGAGAGAGAGACAGAGACAGAAAGATAGCATATAAAGCACGGAAAAAATAGCTTTATCATTATAGTCATCATGTTGATCAGTTGAACCAATAATAAATACAAAGGCATAACCATGATAAGAGAGATGTACCAGATGCTCTTACATTTTTTAGTTTATGTCAAATATTAATATTGTTCAAGAAAGACTGATTTTTCTTGTTTCAACATGTGTACAATATCTTAATATAACTAATTATTATTTATCAACTAATTGGAAAATATTAGGTGTTCATTTACGTTATATATTCTATCAAATACGTACATTTAATGAACCAAATATACGTCAATTACTTTTGAGGTGTGCATGCATGTGTATGCTATAATGAAATTTCATTTTTTTTTTTCTTAAATTTAAAATGAAAAAAATAATAAGATAAATAAAATAGAGAATTTCAGTCAATCAAAGATTTATTTGAATTAATCATCGAAATTCTATTTACAACTAAATGGACTAATAATAAATATAATATAGATTCTGTAAAATAATTTCAATTTTTATTTTTATTCTATGAATATTTTTATTATAGGATACTTCTATTCCAATACCTGTACGTGAAATAATTAAAGAAGTTCCTTCACAAGTATTTTTTTCTAATAGAATATCTTTGATTTGTTTTTTTTTTAATATTCAAAAAAATTTCTTCTAGACACGAACGGATTATTCCGGTGATATGTCTGATTTTCGAACAGTTTTACAACGTTTACGTGAAGAATTAGATCGACTTAAACAATTAATACAAGATTTAATAAATAAAGGAAATTTAACTGCTCAAGATATTGATGTAAGTTAGGTTATTTTATTAAATAATAAAATTATAATCAATAAAAATTAGGCTTTAAAAAAATTAATTCAACAATTAGAACAAACAAAAGCTGATAAGACATATGTTGACAATGAACTTGATAAAGTAAATATAATAAATACAAAACAAAAAACAAAGAGAAAATATATCAAATAATAATTTTTGCTGTTTTTATCTTATCAGAAAGCAGACAGACGAGATATTGAAAATCGAGTTTTAAAAAAAGATTTTAATACTACTTGTGGTGAATTATCACAAAATATAAATGATTGTTTGCAAAAATTTATTGTTCATGTATGATGAGAATTCTATTTCATTTATCGAATAGTAATTTAATTCACTACTTAGGATGATACACAAAAACATGATTTACAAAAAATGAATCATGATATTGATGGAAAACTAGATCGTGCAGAACTCGATGCTTTACGTGATTATATGGAAAAACAATTGAAGAAACTTAAAAGATTAGCAGTAAGTTTTATTATTATCGTTTTAATGATGCATAAATAAAATGAGAAAGATAAACTTATATATATATATATATATTATTTATTCATTTCTGTATTTATTTTATATTTTGTGATTATAAAGAAAGAGCAACAGCAAACTCAACAACCACATGTACATGTTATGTCAGAAGATGAAGCTGCTGGTCTACGAAAACAACTTATTCGTTTTCATTGCATTAGTTGTGATCGTCCAATTGATGTTCAACCGCATGCGTTCGTATTGTTTATTTGTTCTATTAGTATTTATTATATTAAAATTTTGAATTTTGAATTTTTTCTCTTTTCTTAGACAACAACCAAGTCTTCCTGTAAATCAAGCTATGCGTCCTATTCAATCACCTCGACCATATACAACATATGAACTTGATCAAATACGTCAATTTCAAAAGAGGTTAAATTTTCGAATGAAAATCTACAATTAATTTTTCAATATAAAAAAAATTTTAGTCAACAATTAGCTAATGAATTTAGTGGTGGTATAACCGATGTTTATGCAACTGTACGACAATGTGGTGGTTCACATACAACAACATTACCATTTAAACGACAAACAAAAGCACAGTTAATATATTTTATTTTATATTTAATTAATAAAAAGAAAAAAAAAAAAATTTCTCCTATTATTTTGTCAAGGTTAGCTGTACCTGAAGAAACATTACTTGCAAGGTAAATATTAAAGAAAAAAAAAAAAAATCTAAAATTTAATTGGCTTTTTTTTCTATGAATTTCTTTTAAATATAGAAATGAAGTTGATATCAAAGGTCATGATGGTGTAATTTATAAAGGTAGAATTGATGTCGATAAATTACCAACAGTTGATATACATAAAAAGAATTCGGTTGTTTTACGTTCATCATTTCCACCATCAAAATCTCGTACAGATTCTCATTCAACACCAGCTCATTATCAACATCAACATGAATTATCTGGTAATGATCATGAACGAAATGAAATATCACCAGTTGTACCTAATTTTGAACCAATTTTACCTCGAGAAGAATCATTTACTTAAGACAAAAAAAAAAAATCGTTTGTTTTGACAACATTCAAGAATTTTCATAGTTTCCTTGTCCTTTGCTCATTTCATCATTATATTGATTGTTTTCGTTTTTCTTTTTTTTTTTTTATTAACCTGCAATCTATTTTCTTTTTTTTTGGTCATACAGTTTTGCAGCGTGATTATTTTTTACTATGACCATCTCAATGAATATCTTTTTTTTTTTTTTTTTTGAAATAGAAAAAATTTTCTCTAAATTTTAATATTCGTTCGTATTATTATTATTTTTTCTTTTTCTGTATAGATTTAAAACATGTATTAGTTGTTGAACAAGAAATTTTACATGATTCTCAATTATTTTCATTAACACAAAAGAAAAGAAATTTTAAAATTGAAACAATTTTTGATTGGAATAATTTAAATCTAGAAGATATATTAGAAGTAAATAAAGTTAATATAAATGATTTATATGAAAAATGGAAGAAAAAATCATGTTGTCATCATCATCAAGATGGAATTAAACAGAATAAAGAAGAAAAAGATTTAAATATTATGGAATTCAATGAAATAGAAAGTAATTCAATAGATAAGAAATATTACAGAATTTTATGGAACATGATACAGTAGAAATTTGCATCTTCCTCTCTTCATAGATCATGATAAACCTCCTAGCAACCACACACTCTATACGTGATAGACATTGTTGATATACGATCAATACTGTCTCGTTATAATATATGAACTACTTCTTTAATGCGTTTTTGAAGGATTAAGTAAAATGATGACGAAGATGTGCTTCTGAAAATAGATAACATAAAACAATCTCTCTGTCATTACCAAAATTAGCTACATCGTGCTTCATATTTTAATCCCGTAGAGATTGTGCTGACAGGTTTTATGTCATGGAATTTATTACATTAAAGGTTATGACAAATAATTTAACTTCTAGTTTTAGGTTATCATAATGGTTAATTCAACCAGCACTACTCTTCATAATCATGCTTATGACGAGTGAATGATTCTTTCCGTACGTTAAGAATAGCTTGATCATTTGTTCATTAATTTCTTTTGTAAAAAAAAATTGTCTTTCTCAATGCTCTAAGAAAGCCACTCGTCTCGCTATACCAAAATATTTAAAATAATCTTTGACCTATTGAAACAAATGATTAGTTTTATTAACAAAATTTTCTTCTTGATTTGGTTTACTATACATTATAATTCTTAAAATAAGGGAAATTTTCCGACAGAAGAAAACAAAACATCTTCATATGATAGTCATTGAGAGATTTCGATACGTTCTCTTGAATATTTTCAAGAGTCTTATCAATTGATTCATCCAAATAAACGCAACGTATTGATTTCTCTTCAATACTAAACTATCTCGAGATCAATTCAACATCTGTGCTATCAAAAAAAAAAAAAAAAAAGAAGAAGTCTATATGATTTAAAAAAAAACAGTAAGCTTTATATTTGAAATATAAAAACGTCAAATATCATTAAGGAAGTATATTAATATTATTCATCCATTTGGTTCATACTTCCGCTATTTGATGCCATATATTACATCTGATGCAATCAATACATAGATCAATATCTTCTCACATTATGAACGCGTGTGAGTAGCACTTAGAAGTGATCGGTTAAAAAACAAGATGACGATGATGATGATGATGATGATGATATACAGAAGCAAGCAACAGTTGTTGTTTGACACATTGTATCGGTCAAATGCTTCGTTGAACAAGATTGTAAAGTAGGTGTGAGAAATCTTTTTTACCGATCAATAGAAAAGAAGACAAGCTGTCGTTATTACAAGTGTTCAGATACTTGACCTAACGTTTTTCTTTTTCGTGTGTGATCTATTCCGAGATGCATCATCTCACATGTGACAGTCAATAAAAAAAAAGAAAAGAACTAACATCAGCGGCAATAATTTCCGATCAAGACATATATATATATATAAAAGAAAATGATCTAGTCATTTGTCTTATTTAGTATACTCACGCAAACAACAGTAAGTAACTGCAATTGATTTTGCCTAGAGGCTATTGAGCGGTGTTTATTTTATTTTATTTTATTTTTCTTAAATTCAAGTGAATTAACGAACATTTTAACACTATTTTGATAACGACAAAACGTTGATGGGAGGTGTTCGAAAGTCTCAATTTCCTTTTGCTTTTTTCGCCTATACCTTTTTTCGAAAGGCGTGTCTTCTCATTTTCTTTCATTCCTTTTTTTTTTGTCTGCCAGTCAATACAATTAGTTTCGCATGTATACACCTTTCAATGATGAGATTCAGATTCGCATACGAATCAATCATTTGCTATTCGAATGCTGTGTTAATGATACGTTGAACAGGAGAAAGAGAAAAACAGCAGCAGCAGCAATAGCATTGCTAATGAGAGAACGGAAAGAAAAGAAAGAAAAAAAAAAAAGTCTAACGTTCGAGCGGCGAAAACATAGGTCATTCGTTAAATGTTCATTACTTGAAATGGATTAATATTTTTTTATTTATCATAGGAAATGAAACTTCGTTCACATGAAATACTTTCAACAAATAAAAAACCATTTGGATCATCATCATCAACACATCCTTCACGTTTTAAACAATTATTTCAACGTAAAAATTTATTTAAAAAAAAATTTCAACAACAATCAACAAATCAACATAATTTTGTTCATACAATACCAGCTTATGTTCGTAAAAGTATATTTCGTTTTTTACTTGAAATTAAATCTTCAACACCATCATCATCATCATCACCTCCTCCATCGTCTTCTCCTTTACGACCTATTCGACAACCACCATTAATGGGTATTCAAGCATTAAAAAATAAACATCACCAATTAAAACGTTCTTTACGAATACAGTATAAAACAAAAAAAAAACTTTTTTTTTTACCTTTCGGCAAAATTTTGTTTTTTTAGACAACAACAACAACAACAAACTGTTATTGATAATACTAAAACTTTCGAAGATTATCAACAACAAGAGAATAACTATGATATGACTATATTACATACAAATATAGATAATGCTAATGATGATGGTGATGATGATGATGATACATTAATATTTGCAACAAAAACAAGTACAAATCAAAAGAAACCAATACCACAATGGGCAAGAAGTATATTAAAACCAAAATTTTTATTTCTTATCAAAAATAAATAAATAAATAAATAAACTTTTTCTTTTTTTTTTTCCTTTCCTATAGAAAATGAATTACAAATTGCTATTTGTAATCAATTATATTTTCATCGAAATCCAAGTGAAATATTTGGTAATACAATAGATTGTTCACCAGCACATTTACGTACAATACTTCATTCAATGTTACCTAATGTTGAATTATTAGATGATAGTGTACATCAATCACCATGCAATAGTAACAAATCTATATTGATTTAAAACTTCTTTTTCAGTTTTTTCTTTTGATTGTTATGTAAATATACATATATATATATATATATATATTGAAGAAAAAAAGACATAGACTTTTTGATTTTATTCACACATTTATATATATTTACTCGTATTGGCGGCATTTAAGTGAACACGCCTTTTACACCATCATAGAAGAAGAAACAAAAAACAACAACACCACACATACAGAAATTTTCCCAATATTCAATCAGACAATAAGTTACAAATGAACTGTATACACATTAGATGTACAAACTTTAATCGTGTGAATAAATAGCAGACAATAAAAGAACAAGAAAACCGGTGACTGATCACCCTTCTAGCAACCATAGTATATGCATCATTGAAGTTTGACTACTTCATCATCGTTAAGCTTGATTGATCTATTGTTGAATATGAAAGCAGAAAAAAAAAGAAAAGTGAAACCGTTTTTAATTGAATTAATTTTATGTTTTGTTTAAATTTTTTTTCTCATGTTCGTAAATAGAAACCTTACGTTAATAGTATAACACGTGTTTATAGAGAAATGATCAATATTTACAAGAGTTTTCAAGTATGTATATACTCTCTTGACTGTATGATCATAGGCATTCATATTGAGCAAGAAAAAAAAAAAAGTCTATATGTCTTATATTAATAAAATAAAAGTGAGCGTGAGATTTTTATCATCGGTTACCGATTAATTATAAAGATCAAAGATAATATTGATTAATCATTATGAATTATTTAAAAATAAAAAAAAGAAGAGGATTAGAAAAGAATTAATTTAAAATTATTTGAAAATCGTTACACTATAATATCCATTGATGTTTGATATTTTTAATCGAAGTGTACTTAATCTGTATATTTGTTTTATCACAACAGAGACATTTTGATATATAAACATTCTATTTATTGACAATGTAGATATTTCAAAAAAATAAAGTCTACAATAAACGGTCGATTCCTAGAAGGAGACTCTTTTCAGTAATGAATGTCTAGATCTCGTTGACTTTTTTCTTCAGATGATAATTACTAATCACCTAAAAATCGATCATTTTTGCCTATTTCTTCTCGAGTCTTATTGAAACTCGTGATTTATTAATGATCTCATAATTTATACTCGACTCAAATGCTCACCTATAGACTATAGGTGTAAATCGAGCGGCTGAGCCGCCGCCGTTGTTGTACAAAAAACATACGCAGATTTTGCATATTTTAGACATTCAGCATCAATTTTTGTGAATGTTGTTACCAAAACAAGCAAAAAAAATCTGCTTTTTATCGTTTTTTTTTGTGATTTATAATTGATTCAAAATAAAATGAAATCTGTCTTTAAATCTGAAAACCAAATTTTTATCGGCTCAATCAAGAAATGACTGATTTTAATCTATTTTATCAGCATTTTTTTTTGTAAGTATTATTTGATATAGTAGCCCGCAGCTTGACATGTGCGTCAAAGAGTTCTAACATTGTATTTACCATTTGCTGAAATGAGAAGTCTAAGAAACTATTCAATAATTTGAGTTTCTAAATAAAAACTCAAGACAATGCGTTTTACGGTAATCATAATTAAAATGGGTCAGAAATTGAATAATCTGATTTTAGACTACAATCATATTTCTTTATCCTTTTTAACTGGCTTGTTCAGTTTGATACTAGACACTTCTCTATTAGCATTTTCTACCTTTTTCATTTCAAAATCTTTCGAAAAACAAGAGAACAAAGAGTCATGAAAAACCTTGAGCCACTGCTACCGTGAGCAAAACCAAATATTATTTTTTAACAGTCGCCGTCGATCAACTCATCGGCTTACATCTCTACCTATAGTTGTATTAACTAACGACTATTATCAGTCCGATATGTGATAAATCTCATATGCATGACAATGACGATCATGAACTTGATGCTGCATCTTTTGTAAAACACTTTGACTTGTATTGATTCGCAGAGCTTAAAAAAAAATACTTCGTGTTCTTTACACTTGCAGACAACACGAGCATACTTTACATGTAACATCATACTGTACAGTATTGAATAGTTTTTATAGTAAAATGAGATGATTTGCGTGCACAATAGACAATAGTTTGTTTTTTCTTTGCTTTGTATTGATTGAAATGAATCCGTAAATACATATTTAATATGAATCTTCAGAATCTCGCACATTGTATAATTCTAAAAATAGTTTCGGAATTATTCTTTTTGAAAAAAATAATAACTTTAATATCTGGAAATTCTTCGTGAAAAATTTTCACTTTATATTTATGGATAAACTTTTTAAATGAATTATGATTTTGTTGGTAAAAAATAAAATCTCTAGACTGTTAATGTTTTCTAACATTGCTATTAAAATTTGATAAATTCAATTCGATTTTTTAAATTTTCTTTGTGAAGTTATTCAGTCATCATTCGATGTACTGTTTTTCGTGAGAAAAAATGAAGTATTGTGTAACAACTTAAATACTTGATAATAACACATTTTCACAAATATCATGGATTTTGTCGACTTTTTACTGTGTTAATTTCATAAAAAAATGGAAAAATATGTCTAATAGGGTATATGTTTGGCACTTGGTATATCAAATTCGACTTGTATTTTTCGTTTCAGAACTATAAATGACTCACATTTAGCTACTAATAATATTCCAATGCCTGTGGGCACAGAAATTTATCAAAAAACTAATATAAATCACTTAAACTAATTAAAAGGTTTTCATGATAGGCTTTTGGAACACACTGTAGAAACACGAATGTGTGAAGTAAATTATTTATCAGAGCCAACTCATTTGTATCGAAATGATAAATTTTGTATAAGCCATTTTTTAATATCTTTGCAATTTTTAACTTTTTTTTTTTCTAATAATGATAGATGCATATTTAAATACAATATTATATGTATATTTATCAACAAGAAAATGATTAAACCTAATACTATTGAGCTATGTTGTTCAATCTATCGAATTATTCTCATTGTTTAATTGTACCTATATCGAGTCTATGATACAAGGCTGCCATGATTGAGTGACAACGTTATTCGGCTGGTATACACAAAGTACTGTACCCAAGTGTCAATATCATCAGTAATGGAACGACTTTGGACCAGTTACTAACTGTGGTTTGTCTCAGATCACCTATTCGATAGCATGCTGACCACATTGTGACATACACTTGCTCTTGTGGTTAGTCAGTGTCTACGAAGAGCTCAAGCGATTGAGTACAAAGACTCTGCGTCAGGCCAACCTTCTGTTCAGAGTTACAGCTATTCATAATTATAGGGAAGAGATTGGGGAAATGAATCTACCACTTGGTAGCAATCCACACCGCAAGATAGTCGAAAGGCAGAGACATTCTTCTTTGTCTCTTATACGAGTCAGTTTTGACACGTATTGATAAAAGGTCTTCTTAATGAAGTCTATGTTTAATATTCGTGAGAATTTGTTTCAATTATTGAAAAATATGTTGATACAAATTACATTGATTTTTCATATTTCTTAGGAAGTATTATTTTATATAATTAAAGTTTTGATTTTCTTTAGAAATAAGTTTACAAATTCAAGTCGAATCTATGAGTATATTTGAACAAGTCAACTATATGCTCAAAAAAAGGTTCTTTCTCATTATATATTAAAAAGCATCATACCTATAAACTCTAAGAAAAACATTCACTCTAATCATTGACTGTTTTTTTCATGAATTCAAATTATTGATAATGTTGAATAGATTCATAAAATTCAATTTATAAGTCATAAGATTATAAAAACTAATTTACTATGTAGTCAATAGACTTCTTAAAATCAAGTCTGATGTTTTCTATATTTTATTTCATCGAATATTTATAAAATATCGTATAAAAAAGATTAGTTTATATAAATAGTATTATATTTCTCAGCTTTATGATATTAATCTTTGATATCAATTGAAATCGATTTTGTTCTTACACACAAAAAATAAAATCATTATTGATAATTTTCATTTAATCAACACAATTGGATCCATTTTACATTATCATCTCATATTATCTTGTATTAAGTAAGTTCAAAAAAAGTCGAACAACAATAACAAAGAATCTGTTCTTTTTTTTTCTTGAAAACAATTGACTACTGATAATACGTAAAAAAAATTATCAAAATTAGATTTTAATTATTATAATGGTCTTTAAATAAGAAAACAAACAAATCAATTATTTGTATTTATTTTGAAAATGTAACTAAAATTCAAGTGATAATACTCTCATTGTAAGATTTCATATTATCACAAATCAGAATGATTTTTTAAATTGTCAGATTTAATTTATATTCAATGGATATAAAATTTATTCTTTCAATAGTTCAAATTATAATGAAATAAAAGTTTTAATTTGTGAATCTTGTTTTGAATCATCTTCACAATCAAATTTTTATCATTTTTCGATTAAACTTCTTGATATAGAAACAAACAAAAAAATATATTTTATGTGATTAGTAAACAATTGAAGTTTGATATTCGTTCATTTGAATTTCATTCTAATCTATCAATATTTATTGATCAATTAAGATGAATTCGATTATATTGTTGAGGAACATTATCATCAAGAATATTCATATATTAGTTATGTTCTATCTAATTTAACACAATATCGATATAAATATTTATAAAAATAGATTAAAAGTTTTCAGGATTCAGGAATCCGAATCTATAGGAGATTTTTCAATTTTCTCCGACTGAAGGAATTGAAATGAGTCTAAGATCACTATAGTTTTATTATACATTCACCATCATTCTATACGTGTCAACAGTGAAAAAAGTATGGAATATCTTCAAAATTGATCAATAGATTCCTAGTCGCCATTAGTTGTATACATGAAAAAGATATCGTTCGAATTTTTTAATTAACAACCAGAAAAATTCATCATCACCTTGGAATTGAAATTCATTTTAATGGAAAATTAGTGTCTTTCTCTATGCTTCTATAATATAACTATTATTCAAAATGTTGATGAATTTGTTCAATTTTCATTATTAAATAC